TTCCCTCCCCTTCCAGCCACCTCCTCCTCCTCCTCCCTCTCTGCCAGGCCCGCACCAGTCCAAAAAATCGAGACGATTTCGCCCGGAAGAAGAAAAAAAAGAAGAAGAAGAAGAAGAAGAAAAAGAAGGAAGCGAACACCCGGCACCGTGTTTCCGGGGGTGAGATTAGAGCAGAGCGAGAGTTTAGAATCGAAATTCGAATTAAACGACGAGTTTCATTCAGGGGGGAGAGAAACTTATGAAAGGGATGATGAATTTTGAATGGCGGATTGGTTGGAAAGTCGACAGGTTATCGAGATATTGGAATACGGATAAGGGGGCAATGTTTGGCGGATTTCGATGGAGAAAGTTGGATTCCCTTGGAAATTTCCCTTTCTTCTAAAAGGATTGGTAAAAGACTTTAACAATTTTGTTTTCAAACGGAGGAAGACCCGATCTCGATTGAAATTTCCGTTCGATCGAGGTTTGTTGCTCGATCGCCAATCACCCTCCCCCTAATGGGCTGTCCGAATCCTCGACGAGACCCGCGGTCGCGGGGATATTATAGGCGGGGAATAAGCATAGATTCCCTTGGTAACAGCAGCCTCGGACTTATTTTCGAGCGAACGTCGAAGACAACAAAAGTACCTCGACGGAGCAGATGCATGGCATGTGCTACGAACCGACACCAGATGCCCCATTGGCGTAGAGATCCCCGAGGCAAGCTGCGCCACGATAAGCTGCCCGGGATCGGCCTTTTCGGCCTTTTCGGTCGCGTGCCAGTCCCAGACTTCTCTCCGGATTCTCCTTTCTCCCTTCGATTCTCCTCCATCCACGGGAACGACGACCATCCATCCCTCCTCCTCTTCCGGTTTACGTCGAGGCGAAGGAGGGAAGCTCTGGGCGAAGCCGCGACGACACCTGGAAAATTCTCTCCCAACCGAGATAACGAGCGAGATTCGTAAGAGATTCGAAGGAGGGGAAGAAGGGATCGAAGAAGAAGAAGAAGAAGAAAGCGAGGATCGAATTTAACTTAGCTCTCGTTTATTTACTGGTCAATCGATGATTATCTACAATGATTTATTGTAAAAGTAACAAGTAGTCGTGTATAAGTTAAAACGATACGATATCATACATATGTACAAGGGACGACGATCGAGGATCCTTCGTTGATCCTGACTGACTCGAGAGAGACGAGAATCGTCGACGAAAGAGTTGTTTATCGCCCAACGTGTGGCACGTCTCGTGTATCGGCATAGAGAAAAAAAATTATCGTTTATGTCGAGATGGCGGGTGACTCGCGATCGAGGTCGTGATCGTCGATCCAAAATCACTCGCCAATCTCTCTATAATCTATATATATATATGTATAATTCCCATCACGTTTGTTCATCGATCCGAATGTCGACGTTGAATTCTTCTCCTCGTCTATATCCGATTTGCTCGATTGTTAGAGATTATTCATCGTATCGTATATGAATTCAGAATCGATATTTATCTAGCGTTTAAATCCATCGACGACATTTCGATCCAAATTCTCGTATACCATCTTCTTTTTGTTTTTTTTTTTGTTTCTTTTTTTCTTTTTTTCGAATCGGTCGAACATTGCACAGCATAATCGCTGTTTTTCTTTCTCCAAGAGTAGACGTTTCTTTCTTTTTTTTTTTCTTGTTCTCTCTCTCTTTCTCTCTCTCTCTATTTAAAAGGTAGCGAGGATTTTTGTAGTTAAGGATAAGATCAACGAGCGATTGAAACGGAGGCACTTGGTAAACGTGAGAAATTGCGAGAGGATTGATAGAGGGGCGAGATGCGATGCAACGTTCGAACAATTCGCACGAATTTATCACGCGCTTAAAATAATCTCTACAGGAGATTTGC